GTCGAGTTGTGCTCCGCTGGGCGTCGTAGTTTTAACTCTCCTCTCGTTGTTTAAGAACATAGTCAAACACGATATTTCGTGTCTGATATATTACATATACATAGCTAAGTCACTCTTGTTAGTAAGATTCAATATACCTGATTTTTGTCAGTTACATTAAGACTCTCTGGCTTACTCGCCAAAATGAGCTCAGCTGATCTTTTAGATCCTTGAAGCGCAGCATAGTGTAGGGGAGTTTGGCCGTGTGCGTCACTAGACAAGAAGGATATAAAGTTAATTCCCAAACTGGTTTTCGAATATCCGATGGATTTTGGGAGGCACTAAAACATTTTGGTTCATTTGTTCTGGGAACTGTGGAATACAAGGCATCTTTGAGAACAGAGAAAACAGCGGGTGTAATCTCAACCGTGAACATCCCCAAGGGGAAAATTAGCCTTTTTCATATCCATAAGTTCGACTCAATCCTCAATTATATTAAAACTGATTATATTTTGCACATTTCAACACCACAACTTATTGTTTGTAGTCAGACATTTGATTTGAAAGTAACAATAGCCCAGTTTTAAGTTAACCGAGACCGCTGAAAGAAAAGTAGTAAAGATCATTTGAAGTAAATTATAAAAATACAAAAGTGATAAACACAAGAACAAACAACAGACAAGGTTGTTACGTGTAATAGGTCATGCTCTCAATGTTATTTGCAAATATTTTTCGTCAGATACAGACTTACCCAGTGTAGTTACGTCTTTATTCCGAAACTGAACTAATCAAAGCTCGTACAGAATTGTATTGTAATTGTGTCAAGTTATCGGTTGGATCGCTCTCACCTGTCAATTTTCCCTCCCTTCTTTAAGAAGAACTCCACCAATTCATCATGTCCTTGTTGTGCGGCGAGATGAAGTGGTGTTCTTTCGAACACATCATTACCATTCACTGTTCTCTTCCCACGCCCGTCCATCAGTTTCATAGCAACGGATACACATCCGTATCTGTTACAACAAACCAGTTTAACAGGTTTATTAAGCATCCAAATAGGTAAAATGTCGGAAAATTTCTAACCTTAAAATTATAATTTTCAACTATAGCAACTTTAATAACATAGTCCAAAAATATGACCACGAATAGGGAAAATACTTTAATTGCGTTACGTAAATTATAATCCATCAAATATTTTCGCTCGCGCGCGATTGGTCTA